ACCTTTGCACTATGTAATTATTTGTTATAGAGAGCTGTTTTGTGCATTGTAAGATGATTAGCCACATATCTGGCCTCTACTCATTAGATGGTAGTACCGCTCCCTCCCTGTCATGATAATCAAAAATATCTCCAGACATTGTTGAATGTTCCCTGTGGGGCAAAAGTACCTCTGGTTGAGAACCACTGGGTTAGATAATATGTTTTTAGACATGAGACCAAATCAGAATCCAGAAAAAATGTATAAATTAGACTTCATCCAAATAAATTTTTCTCTGCAAATACATTGTTAAGAGAATAAAAATATTTCAAGTCACAAATCTGATAAAGGACTTATATTCAGAATAAAGAATGCTCAAAATTTAATAATAAGAAAAAACCAAATTTAAAAATGCACAAAAGATTTGGATAGACACTTAAATGAAAAAAAAAATGAATGGTAAATAAGCCCATGAAAACATGGTCAACATTATTAATTATTAGGGAGATGCAAATTAAAATAATAATGGGGTATCATTACTTATCTGTTAGAATGGCAAAAGAGTACTAAAACAGAAACAATACAACCAAACTCTGACAATACTAACAATATTAAGGAAGACTGGGAGCAACTGGAACTCTCATACATCGTTGGTGGGAAAGTGTAATGGTATAGTTTAGCTACTTGGGAAAGTAATTTGGCAATTTCTTAAGTTAAACATGCACTTTCTATATAACCAAGCAATCTAGCTCTTAGGTATTTACCCAAACAAAATGAAAACTTATGCTCACATAAAAACCTGCTCATGAATATTTATAGCAGTTTTATTTATAAGCACCCCAAACTGAAAATAATCCAATTACCAAAAAATAGGTAAATTTTGCCTATCATGCCATGTGTTGTTTGCAGAAAAAAGTTCATGACAAATGCATGGAGTTGTGGAACCATAACAACAGCCCAAGGCTATTATCTTTAGAAAAACTTGCTTATAAGGTTGGACTTTGGCTAGCGTCTTGGAACTTGGCACTTGAACCATTCCCCACTTATGCCTAGACTGTGCAATGATTGATGTGGAACAGCTGCTTTCCTTCTTGCACTCTGGAATTTTGGTAGTTGCTAGGCAGAAAATGCCTATGTGACTAGCAATGAGTGGTAGTGTTCAGGTGTCCTGAGACAGAATACTACTCGGCAGTATAGCAATGTGGATGACTCTTGCGTGTATTATGCTATGTTAAAGAAGCTAGATTCAAAAGGCTATATACAGCATAATTCCATTTATATGACATTTTGGAAAATGCAAAACTATAGCTACATAGAACAAATTGGTGGATGTCAGAGATTTAGAGTGAAAGAAAGGCTTGAGTAGCATAGGGAATTTCTTTCTTTTGGCACAGAGGGTGGGGTGGTGGTAGTGATGAAATTGCTCTGCATCTTGGCAGTGGTGATGGTTCCAGAACTCTATGAATTTGGCAAAACTCAGACTTTTACACCAAAGAGAGTAAAGTTTATTATATATAAATTAAAAATAAATTTAAATTGAAACAAAATCAATTGCCTTTCTACATATTAGCAACAAATAGAAAAACTATATTAAAAACATAATTTATAATAGCACCAAAACTATTAAATACCCTAGAATCAATCTAATGAGAGACATAAGACTGAAAAACACAAAATATCATGAAGATTAGAGGACTAAAATAAGTAAAAGGATGTACCATGTTCATGGACTAAAATACTTCAACATGACAAAACATTAACAAACCAAATGGGATCCCAGGACATTTTTTACATATTGACAGGCTGATTTTAAATGTACATAACAATGTAAAGGACCAATAACAGCAAAACAATTTAGAAGAACCAAGTTTGAGCACTTATTGTGTTGTATATCAACGAGTACTATAGGTAATTAAGATTTTTTTATATTGGTAAAAGGTGGAACAATTAGGGAGAGTCATAGGGAGTCCAGAAATAGTCCCTCAATTTGTGACAAAGTTTGCACAAAACTGCTGAGGAAAAATTACAATCTTCAATAGTTAGTGCTGGATCAATTAGATACACATGTAAAAAAAATTAAACTTGCCTCCTACTTCACATTATATACAAAAATCGTTTTCAAGAGGAAGATAAATATAAATGCAAAAGGTAAGATAAAAAGCTACTAGAAAACAACTTTGGAAAATATTATACTGTTTGAGTAGGGAAAGTTCTTACACAGGATATAAAAAGGTCTAATTATAAACAAAAAGATTGAAAATTTAACATTATATTTAGTTACTTCAGTTCATTGGTAGACACCACTATCAGAGAAAACGTAAGAGAATAATTTGCAATACTGACCAAAAGTACCCACAATGTGTAGCAAATTCCTAAAAATCAACCAAGGAAAGAAAAACTTAGTAGAAAAATGGACAAGAAAACTGAGCAAACACTTACCAAAAAAACAAAAAACAAAAAAACAAAAAAACCCAACACAGTAGTCTCTTGTTATTCACAGTTTTGCTTTCCATGGTTTCAGTTATCCATGGTCCAAAATTATTAAATGGAAAATTCCAGAAATAAACAATTCATACGTTTTAAATTGCATGCCATTCTGAGTAGCATAATGAAGTCTTATACAATCCTGCTCTATCCCATCAGGGACATGAATCATCCCGTTGTCCAGTGTATCCACCACCCTCCTGTCAATCATTGATAGCATCTGCTCCTGATTTCCAACCAGTGACATCATCATGGCTCAGTGATCAAGGATCACAGGAAACAGATGCTCCTTCTGTGACTTACGATCACAAGGCTGATTGTAACCTAATGTTATGTCACACTGCCTACATCATTCACCTCACTTCATCTCATATCATTGTAAGAAGAATGCTAAGTATTACAAAATAAGATATTTGAAGAGAGAGATCACATTTACATAACTTTTACTATAGTATAGTGCTATAATTTTTTTTTTGAGACAGTCTCACTTTGTTGCCCTCAGTAGAGTACTGTGTCATCATGGCTCACAGCAACCTCAAACTCCTGGGCTTAAGCGATTCTCTTGCCTCAGCCTCCCGAGTAGCTGGGACTACAAGCACCCACCACAATGCCTGGCTATTTTTTGAGGTTGTCATTGTTGTTTGGCAGGCCTGGGCAAGGTTCGAACCTTCCAGCCTCAGTGTATGTGGCTGGCGCCATAACCACTGTGCTACAGGCATTGTTAGTTATTGCTGTTAATCTCTTGTTGTGCCTAACTTCATGATTAAGCTTTATCATAGATTATATATGTATATAGAAGAAACAGTAGATAAATGGTTTGGTACAATTTATAGATTCAGGCAACCACTGGGAGTCTTGGAAAGTATGAGAGGGATGAGAGGGATTATTGTATTCAAAATGCTCTGTGAACAACTGAGAAGGTACTGTAGCCATAAGGGAAATGCAAAAAAAAATTTCATCACTAAGACAATACATTTCATCATTATAGGATGGCTATAATTAAAATGATTGATAATATCAAGCATCCGTGAGGCAGTGAATGACTGGAACTCTCATACACACTGCTGGGGGTGATCAACTTTCCTGGTTGATATAACCATTTGCAGAAAATGGACAGTCTGTTCTAGAAGCTGAATGTGTACATATTCAACAACAGCAATTTCACATCCAGACATATGCCAATCAGAAATAAGGACACAGCTAATAGCACAGTTTTTCATTACCAAAACTATAAACAACCAAAATATGAATCAATATTAGAATACACATCTGGTAAGTTCATATAATAGAGTATTATAGAGCAATGAAAAAGAACAAACTATTGTTACATGATGTGCCAACACGGATAAATCTCACCCTCTAAATATGGAACCCAAGAAGCCAGATGCCAAAGAAGAAATATCAAATAGATCCATTTTAATAAAGTTCTTCAAAAAACAATAAAAACTAATCTATGGTGTTAGAACCCTTCCATCTGGGGAGGAGGGTAGGTAGGAATAGTGATCGGGATGGGACAAGAGAGGGCTCCTAAGGAGCTGGTAACGTTCTATTTCTTGACGTGGTAGTTACAGGCTATGTCCATTTTGTGATATTCTTTGAGCTATACACTTAGGATTTGCTCATTTTTCTGCATGCATTTTATATTTTTTAAAGTTGAAATGCAAAATAAAGAACTCCTTATACTTTTTCAAAGACAAAAATAATCTATTAGATGATATCACTTTCTTAAAGTTACAGAACGGCTTTCGTATCACATTGTCAGGGCAGTTTGCATCCTGCCTGCCTCAGTCCTCAGTTCATATCACTATTCCTTCCTCATGAGACTCTGGCCTCACTGGCCTCCTTCCTGTCCCTCACACGTACCAAACTTGCTCTTGCCTCCTTGCCTTTGGACTTGCTATGCTGTCTGCTTAATGTTCCTTCTCCACATCTCCTTTGGCCGCCTGTCTCTCTTCCTTCACATGTCCTTGGAACAGCCTATCCCATCCTACCTCCCAGCCACTGTCTGTCCTAGAGGTCAGGCAACAGTTTTTACAGACACCCAGATAGAACAGCAGGCTCTGCAGGCCAGCTGCCCTCTGACATACTGTTCAACATTCCAATGCAGTGGGAAGTAGCTGTGGACGGTATGAGAATCAATAGGTGTGGCTGTGTGCCAACAAAACCTTATTTATTTGTAGATATTGATATTTGAATTGTATATCATTTCACATGTCATAAAATATTCTTCTTTTGATTCTCCCTCAAGCACTCAAAAATATAAAAACCATTCTTAGGTTGCCCATTAAAAATAGATAGGAAGGCTAGATTTGGCCCACCACTAACCCCTGCCCTGATCAACTGCTCTGATTCTTTTCTTCCTCGGCTTGTTGCTACCTAAAATTATTTCATTTGTTCATGTGCTTATCTCTTATATTTCCCTACCCTTAGAATTTCAGCTCCAGAAGACAGGGTGCCCTATCTGTTGATTTGCTGCCACATGTCCACTGCCCATCCTAGAGCCTCACCCTGCAGAAAACACGAAGGAGCAGGCCTACCTGATCACAACCCTGGGCTTGGTGAGGATTCTGATGGCCTTCTTCCGTACGGGGCTCACAGGAGCAGACTCAGTCTCCTCTTTAAACATCTCTGTAAGTGAGGACTCCTGTCGGGCTGACTGAGATCGTAAAGGACTGTCTCCTGAAGTCATCTTGGAGATCCGCTCAGGAGGAGCTCCAGATTTCACCTTCAACCGGCCAGATTCTGCCTCTTCCTTTCCGATGGGATATTCAATGGTTAATAGACCTGTTTCCAGAAGACACCCAATTATCTTCCCTTCACAGCCAGGGCTTCTCAGCCCCTGCTCCCAGGCTAGAAGCATCAGAACCCGCTTCAGCTCATCCCCATTTATACCCTTTACTCTCACTGGTTCTCCTGACGCCTCCCTGGCCACCTCTCCTCCGATGCCCAGCAGAGTGCTCCGGCCCTAGTGCAGTTAGTGCAGTGACTGCTGGCTGAATGTAAGAATGGACAAATACCACTTCTACTCATTCTGCAATCTCCGTTTTGTCAGGGAGCCCCATATTTCATTCAGTTTCGTGTCCTTCATAGCACCAACATTCTCAGGATGCATCCTCAGATTTGAGTCCCTTCCACCTACTTTCTTTGTTGTATTTAATTTATTAATATTCTTGTCTTAGAATACAGGGACCTCATGTCCTCTCATCCACTCACCAAACTAAGCCAAAATGGACCTAGTTCACTGTGCTTAGTGGTGTGGCCTCAGGCAAGTCCCTTCAGGACCTGAACCAAATGATCCCATCTGCAATGAGGAAATATCGGATGGCACCTGTGGCTCAGTGAGTAGGGCGCCAGCCCCATATACCGAGGGTTGCGGGTTCAAACCTGGCCCCAGCCAAACTGCAACAAAAAAATAGCTAAGCATTGCGGCAGGCGCCTGTAGTCCCAGCTACTCGGGAGGCTGAGGCAAGAGAATTGCCTAAGCCCAAGAGCTGAAGGTTGCTGTGAGCTATGACACCACAGCACTCTACCAAGGGCAACAAAGTGAGACTCTGTCTCTAAAAAAAAATAAAAAATAAAATGGGGAAATATCCCCGCCCTGCCTACTTCCGTGGAGGTTCAGAGTAAAGAAGTAATGGGTGGTAAAGAGCTGTCCTTTGAGATGCCTTTCAGCGACCTGGGATTTGGGAAGCCATTGAACAGGCTTTTACCCACCCCCCAATTTACCTGATGCCAGCAAGACAGAATTCATAAACTGAGTCACTGTCTTCTGAAACCGCTTCTTGATCTCGGCCAGCGCTCGGCTCATCTTAGACACCTTCTCATCTATGCTGCTGATTCCACGGGGAAGCTGGACAGAGGCAAAGGGGAAGGACCCCGAGGAACCAGCTGCCTAGCCTGGTGATAACCAGTGCTTGCTCTGGTTTGGAGCATGTGCAGTTCCCTCTACCTGGGACACACCTCTCTCCCTCTTAGCCTAGAAAATTCCTACACACCAGCCCAGACCTGAATCGGATGTCCCATCCTTGGAAGGTTTTCTCTTATTCTGTTGGGTAGAACTGCCCCTTGCCTTGGACACTCATCATGCTCTCTGTGCAGCCTGAAGACAGAAGTTAGCAATTTACCAAGCAATGAGTTATGTCTGAGCCTGCTCCCCTAGACTGCATGTGCCTAGAGGGGAGGGACTGAGCCTTGGTCACTTTGGTGTTTGACTGCCTGGCCTACACAAGGTAGGCCATTTACTCAGTAAATGTTGCTGCCCTCATAGGTAAATGCTGGTCTCCCTCTGCCATGAATCCCACACTGCATCCCTCAGAAGCTCCCTCAGTTCTGGCTGCCAAGCAGTGGTTGCTCCCAGCACCCAGCTAACTGCCTCAATTCTGGATTGCTCTGAAGGACCATTCTGGCCCGGGGTCCGGCTGTAGGATTGCTGAGGCCTTTGCTGTGGTTGTCCTGCTGCTCAAACTCTCCCCCTGCCCAAGCTGACTTCCTTCAAACTTCAAAGGGGCTATTCCACAGAGCAGCCCCCAATAAAGCCTCACACACCTAGCTCCATATCAGAGTCCATTTTCCAGGAAGCAGGAAACCTGCTCTGAACAGCTGAGGCATCTCAGTGGTACCGTAAAATCAAGCTCAGGGTCCAGAGTCGAGCCTGACTTTATCTCCAGGAAGCCTTCCCTGGTTTTCTCAGCCAACAGCCATTGCTCTATGTGCTGAAATCCACATATGTCCCTTCCTATTCTTTCTGCCCTGGGTCCTGGCTATTTTTTATCCAGGGACTTCTTTTATCCCTAAACTTAGCTCCTTGAGGGCAAAATCCCTGCTTTCTATATCTCCTACCTAACATATAGGAGGTAGGAAAAACAATTTTCTTCCACAGAATTCAAGCCTGAGGTGGAAAGAGTAGGGTAGGGATGAACAGCTTCTTTGAAGGACAACAAAGTCAGTCCCCATGTTTTTCTTTAGCCTGCAGCAGAAATCCTGTAAAGAACACCCCTGATAATAGCAAAGCTTCAACCATCCTTCTACTTGGTGGCACCAGCCACTGCTTCTGGGCTAATTTTATTTATTTACTTAAAATTTATACCCAGACTACTTCCAGAAAGGATTTGAGGCAGCACACTAGGCTAATAAAGCATTTAAACTGAGGCATCGTCTCGCTTCCAAAGTGCTGCCTTGATAGAAATATTTAGTGAGGAGCTAGGCCTAAGGGCTGTAAAACCTGGGACCGCCATTCTGCCTGTCTCTCTGATGGGTGGCTCTTTCCAGGGTGATGGGTGTCTGGGGAAGCCATTTACCAAGCTCCCCAGTAACGGAGACTTGGAGGGAAGAGGCCACCCCACCCCAGCTTTCATAGGCAGCAGTGGATTTTGTTCCCAAACAAGCATACACAGATGGTACAGAACAGACTGTAAAAGTCCGAAGATGGGTGGGCCCAAGATGGGTGGGCTGGGTGGGCCCTACACATCACTGTACAATAGGGAAACTAAGCACCAGACAGGGAGGGAACTGGCCCAAGGCCCTATGGCCTCTTTCTAGCCTAAGCTCTTTGTCAACCTTGACATTCAGTATATTCTCTTGGAGGCTCCTGGCAGCTCCAATAGTCCAAGAATCTAAGATACACTAATTGGCTAAGCCTTAGATTTCATGCAAAAGTATCCCGAGATGCTTAATCAGGTGTTAATGTCAACATCTGGAAATTTTGTTACCCACAACAAATCACATTTACTCATTTGTTTCCGTTTAATCTCACGAGAAAGTTGTAATACCTAGTGCACATCCATACTTTCTCAAACAGCAAAGGTCAGAACCATAAGGCGTTTTGGCAAGTCAGTCTTCTAGGTCAGCATCAGCTCCTATCACCTATTATGCAGCACTGTGTACAGCTGCTGTCTTAACATATTGGTTTGTTTATCCCTATGTCCCCAAGACAGTTATGTTCTTTGAGTTATTGTGTCATTTTAAATAACTTTTCAGTATTTTACTGCAATGTCAAACTATGCCTCTGGAAGCTTCTCTTAATGGAGATTCCACCCTCTAGACCAGCATGGTCCGGTAGAAATACAATGTGAGCTACATGCATAGTTTTAGTGTCTAGCAGCCACATAAAAATGTTTGTAAAGGTAAAATTAATTCTAATAACCTATTGATTTGACCCAGTATATAGAAAATATAATAATTTCAACATGACATCAAAATAAGCGATTATGAGTGAGAAATTTCACCTTTTCTGTTCACACTAAATCTTTGAAATGCAACATTATATTTTTAGTCAGAGCCCATCTTAGTTTGGACTCATCACATTTCAAGAGCTCAATAGTCATGTGTGACTTGAGGTTACCACACTGGATAGCTTTGGACTTCTAATTCCAGCTTGCTAAAATTGCATTAAGGCAAGGAAAAATAAGATTTGAATTGCCAAGGAGCTTTCCCAGGGTGTGTGTTTGAGGGTGTGTGTTTGAGTACATGAGCTTAGAGAGATGTCTCCAAACTTTAGAGCTAACCCAACAAGAAGCTGTCAGAAAAATGAAGTATTTTTGCAATTTTACAAGAATGAATAATTCCCTAATATCCATTGCCTTTAATAAGAAAAATAATCTCACATTTTTTACCCAGTCTAAAAAGGTTTTCAAGAAACAAACCTGTGTATTTAATAATGTCACAGTGACTTTCAGAGTGAGAATTAGGAACCAGATGGATAGGTTGGAAGCGTCAACAAGCAAGATCATCCATCTCCCTCAGCCCAAATGAACTTGAACTCCTATGGGTACTTTGCTCTTTAAGGTAATCAGTGCAGCTGGATTCAGATGCCTGAGTTTCCTGGGTGCTCCTATGAGACCCCTTGAGGAATACTCCCTCTCCTCATGCCCCAGTGGCTTCACGTGCCCTCTGCCTGGCATGCCACGCTCATGCAGCTGGATTATGACTGTGGCTTGTGCCTTGCCCCCTCCATTAGACTGAAAGTATTTCAGAGAGTAGAGGGATTGGGATGCCTTCATTTCTACGCATACACACACACACACGCGCCACCCTCCCCCGCAGCCAATTTGGCATGCTGCAGGTGCTAATATATTTTATTAAATTTGCTAATGAATTAACAAAAGCAAAATGCTGCTGGAATGAAAATGCTATTTAAAAAACAGGCACAATGCTTTCCTCCAGGAGAAATGTGGGGGGTCCCTAACAAATCCCTGCCCCTTGTGTCCCTATGTAGCATGAAGACATTGGGCTGGATGCCTGCTCTGACAGTGTGAGCTTGTGGCATGCAGCAGCAAATATCCCCATAGCTTAACTGGGTTGACTGGGTTTCTTGCTCAGGATGACCATATAATTTATCATCTGAACCAGTAAACTTCTAAGAAGGAAAGAGGATGCTATTTATAATTGTTCCAGGTGGACAGGTGTAAATCTGGACTGGCTCTGGGAAAACTGAGAGGTATAGTCCTCCTGCTCCTGCTCCTAGAAGACTTCCCTTGGGGAGCATAGTGCTTTGTGGGACCACAGATGGTTTGCTTCATCTGAGTGAGCCCTTAGTTTCCATAGCCTTGTGCTGTATTGGCAGTGTTCTCTTTCAGACTCTAAACTCAGGGTGCAGGGATCGTGTCCTCTTCATCCTCTCAATCTCTCTCTATGATGTTGATTTGAGACCCCCAAGCACACAGTAGGATCCATGAAGACCCAGTGAATGGAAAATGAACTTCCAATAACTACCCACTATATTTTCCTCCACCCAATAAATATCTGGTAAGTACTTAATTTGAAGCAGTCTTTGTGCTACACCTCAACTGATACTAGTGGGAATCACAGAGAATTCTCAATTTGGTGGAGAAGATAGACTTGTAAATAAAGGAGTGAATGGAGATTGTCACAGATGAGAGTCAAACTGAGGAAGGGATAGACTCTGCCTGGGATGGGGAGAGGATAGTAGTTATTCTATCCAGCACTATTTCCCCCACCTTCTGATACCAACACCTTCCTTTTCCTTTAGGGAAACACTTCTGCCTGGGAGATGCATTTGAGATTGATCTCACCTCTTGGCCCCCAGGATGGATGTGAGAGTCAAGCTCAGCCCCTGGAAGTAATACATCCTCCTGGCTGTGAGAAATGCTTCAAGCAGAGGCAACCAATAGAACCAATGAGTGTTGATGCTGGCATTTCTACTTAGTGCTTAGGGAAAGAGAGCCCTCCCTTTCCCAGGGACATTAAAGATGTAGAATAATAGCTTAGAGATGTTTGTAGCCATTTTGTTACCAAAAAGAGAAAAACTCCTTAAGAATAAAGCCAACAAAGAGGAAAGCAGAGTCAAGAGACAGAAAGATCTGATGGAATCATTTGAAGGCCTGGATCCAGCCTTTCCTGAAGCTGCATATTGATAGGCTTCTCAGTTTATTGAGTAAATATATTCTGTTTTTGTGCTTAACTCACTTCATATTGGATTCTGTCACTTAAAACTGAAAAACTCCTAACTGATACACAAACAAGAAGTCTCACAGAGAAGGTGATACTAAGGGTGGGAAGTGAATGATGCTAAAGAGAGAATGAGATATAAGGTGACAGCCCATGTTAAGATGCCCTGAGTTCAGGGCTCAGTGCCTGGTCTGCTTTGCCTTACCCGTTTTTCATGTGACATTCTATGGGGACAGTTGTTAGCTGTTATAGGCACTGTGACTGTCTCATTCAAGGAGGTGAAGGTGACCACGATAGAGTCCTGCCCCAGCACCTTCAGCTTCATTTGCTCATTCACCTGCAGATGGAGAAATGAGGACTCATAGGATCCTGCTTCTGTTGCCTTGCTTGCCCCTTCCCAACCTGCCACAAAACCTAAAATCCCACTTGGTTTGGGGCTGAAGGTTCATAAGAGCTTTCTAGTTCTTACGTTAAAATTCAGCTTTTTCAGAGAAAACAAAAGAATTCCAGTCTCGAGTGGTGCCTGTGGCTCAGTCAGTAGGGTGTCAGCCCCATATACTGAGGGTGGTGAGTTCAAACCAAGCCCTGGCCAAACTGTAACAACACCACCACCACCACCACCACAAGAGTTCCAGTTTCTCTTTGTGGGATTAGTTGCATAAGTAACCAATGTCCCTTTACTCCAGCTCCTTCTCTTTCCAACCTAAGCAGGAAACCCACTGTGAAAGAAGTGCAGGTGGCTAGCAGGTGAGTCAGCTTTAGTCCTGGGACAGCTGGCCTGGGCATGCAGCTTGGGCCAGAAGCCAATCCTTTAACCCTGAATCAGATAGCTGTATCCACTCAGGCATCAAGTCTAACTCTGAGTCTTGTCCTATAGCAGGTGGGAAGGTGAGCACATGGTAGGAAGCACCAGAAAGCCCCTGCAAATGGGTGGGAACCAAAAGGGCCTGAGCTGCACATACTCAGTTCCTTCTCTAACATCACCAACTATGTCACTACTCTTCCCCTGAGGAGGAGCCAAATTCCATCAGAAAGGGGCAAAATAGACTTTTTTTGCCATTTCCAAAAAAGTAGGATTTCTCTTTAGCTGTCCCAGATAGGAGCCTGGGGAGGTTGAGGTGCACTTATAACAACTTGTTGCTTACTGAGAGCTCTGTGGTCTAGGGGTAAGTCCCAGTTCTGCCTCCTGTTAGCAAGCTAGTTAGTCCCTCTGAATCTCAAATTTATCAGCATAAAATAATTGAAAGGCTATTATTAAATTCAAATAAGATAAAAATGGTGGAGGGCTTTGTAGGTCATAAAGTCGCACATCTGCCCTGAGACGATCTTGTCAGGACACTGTGGAGCAACTCACATTCAGGCTGCTGATGGTGTCCATGTGCAGAGCATTATTTATGCACAGAGGCCCTCCCTGCAGGCTTGAATTACATATCCCTACACTGCTGTGTTCCTCCTAGTCTTCTGTGCTTCTGACTTAGAATATCTCCTTACCTACAAACACCCCTGGCAATCCTCTGAACCAAGAAGACACTCTCCATTTTGCTCCTTCCATTTCCTTTCACTTTTTCAGCTGTTGGCCCAGGGGTCTACATGGAACTTCCTTATCACTGAGTGAGTCTTTTCCTCACACTCTCCAGTCTGGTGGCTAATTCCTCCCAGTTCCCAGAAAACACTCAACCATGACTTGCCAAGTCATCAACATCTTCAAACTTGTCGATCATTCTCACTTAAGGGAAGCCCTACCCTCTGCTGCCCTCCTTCTAGAGAGATGTGACATAGTACCAGAGCTGGGAGATCAACCTCTGCAGCTGGGCAGGGGTTGAAACTCAGTGCTGTCACTAACCAGTTGGGCAATTTTGGCAAATTGGTTAGCTTCTCTGATCCTGGGGGCAATAATAGAATCCTTTCCCTGGGACACTTCCCCATGGACACTACCATGCAGGTTTTGTGGGACAAAATAAGCATGTAGCCTAGCATGTTGCAACTATTATGTTTATTTGCCATCCTTACTCCCAGGGTGGTTTCTTTTTCTTTCTCTCAATGCCCCAAATATGGCTGCTCTACAAATGTAGCCCAAACCCATCCTTTTAAGAGTTCATTACCTAGCCCATCATATCTTATCCACTATCCCTGAACTCTCACTTTGAGAGTTCATTAACTAGCCCATCATATCTTATCCACTTTCCCTGGTCAGGATCCATGTCATGACAGCCCAGAGAGATAGGGCCAGTGGGCCAAACCAGTATGTCTAAAACCATATTGGTCACTGATCTTCTCAGAAACACTTCTATTTTCAGCCAGACACATACTCCATTATTGAGTCATCTACAATTTCCTCCTCCCTTCATCTATCCCTTATCATCCATGCCTGAACACCATTTCTTTTATTAAAATGGTCCCCTTTAAAAAATATTGTCAATATTTTTAATCATGTTGTGTCTGGCTAGTAACTCCCAACTAGTCCCTCCCTTGGACTATCCATGGTCTTTTCCTCTCTAGCCAACCTTCCACACAAAACCTGAACCCAACATTTCAGGCCTCAGCTTAAAAATTAACTAGCTTCCAGCATAGCTGGAATCAACTCCTAACAGGCTGACCTTTCCAAAGATAAATGTAAGCTTGAAAAAAAATACAAAAAAAAACTACCCAAAAGCTATGAAGAGTAAACAAAAGCAGGAAGATTTTGGAGAAGACTCATAAAACTTAAGAAAAAAAAAGGACCACCATGGGATAAGTTTTTCTTTAATAGCTGTAACCTGAAGGCAGTCGCAGGAATGTGTGGAGAGAATGTCAGAATGAATAGAGCCAGGGAAAGAGAGCCCTGAATTCTGTGTATAGACTGCCCACATCTCTGCATGATCCCTCAACTATGTATGAGCTGAGAAAATTCAAGACAGCTTACAGTTAAACAGAAATACTGCATTTGAGCAGCTGCCCACTGCAGGTGAAGCAAAATTTGTAGTTTGAATCCAACCTAGTTCATTTGCTGTTAAAACAAGAATATCAACACTCTTCAGAGAAATACATCAGAACTCAGAGATTCCACAACATAACATTCATGATGTCAGGCTATGATCCAAAATTACTCAACATATGAAGAACCAGTGAAATGTGAGCCATTCTCAAGGCAACAAATAATGGAGGCCAATTCTGTCTGATACAACCCAGATGCTGAAATTTTCAGACAGGGACTTTAAAGCAGCTAATTTAACTATACTTGATGGAGTAAAGGAAAATGTACTTGGAACGAATTATAAAATGGTAGAGAAATAGAAAATATAAATAACTAAATAGAAATTATAGAACTGATAATATGTAATATCTGAAATTTAAAAATTTTACAAAAGTAGCATAATAGTGGAATAGACATGACAAAATAGAGCCAGTGAACTTAGAGAAAGATCAGGAGAAATTATCCAATCTGAAAAGTAAAGAAAAAAAACTTTGAATAATAACAACATAACAGAGCTCCAGTGACAATAAAAAAATATCTACAACACATAAAACTGAAGTCTCAGAATAAAAGGAGAGAAATATTGGAATTCCTTCCAAAGAAGATTTAGAAGATGCCTCAAATTTGATAAAATGAATTCAAATGAATTTATGGATTCAAAAATCTCAAGACTCAGGCTCCACCAACCAAAAAAAAAAAAAAAAAAAAACAACCACACCTCAACATATAGGACTTAGAAAACCAAAGAAAAGAGAAAATCTCACAAGCAGCTAGGGAAAATGAACAGCAATTTGAATAACTACAGATGTCTCATCCTAAACTATGGAGGACAGACACAGTGGAACATCTTTAAAATGCCAAAAGAAAAATAAACAGCCTAGAATTTATATCCAGGAAAAAAATTTCCTTTAATAAAGAGATTTGTCACATGAAAGAAACCAGAGAATATGTACTTTAAGAAATATCAAAGGAAGTTCTTCAGGACAAAGAGAAATAATAGCAAAGGGAAACTTGGACTTTCATGGCAGAATGAAGAACATTGGAAAGAGTGAGTATCTGGGTAAAAACAAACTGGCTTCTGCAGCCTCCAAGATGACATGTGAACTCCTCAGCCTGACATCCAGTGCCTCTTATCCCCACTCTGCATCATATATACTTCTTGCCCTACCTATTTTCACAAGAAGTATACTTGTGACCTCTCAAAGATTCCACACTTAGCCCATTTCCAATGTTTACAGATGCTTCTCCCTCTACCCAGAATGCTCTTTCTTCCTCCTTCTCCTTTTATGCCATGGAAATCCAAGTGTAAAATTATTCACAATCACTCCCTGATGCAACTCAGGGACACCTTCTTTTCTAGGCCTCTGCTGTGCATTTCTGTGTGCAGCTCCAGGGAATATAGATAAATGAATGAAAACACCTTGCCAAAATGCTTTATTTTTTTATTTAGTTCTCACAGAAATACTATGATGCAGGAGGGCAGGTCTGGTGACAACTAAGACTCAGGGAAGCCGAGTAGTTTCCATTAAGCTGCACAGCCAGAATATGGCAAAGTGGGCACTAGCACTTGGCTCCTCAGACTCTCGTCCTAGTTCTGTCTATGTCTATTTGGCTATACTAACACATAAACTTATGATGCCAGCTTTCAACTGATTTGCAATATTCTTAGATTATAAACTTTCCTTTTTTTTTTTTTTTTTTTTTTTGAGACCAAGTATTTTTCCACTACCCAGGCTAGAGTACTGTGGCATCAGCCTAGCTCACAGCAGCCTCAAACTACTGGCTGAAGCGATCTTCCTGCTTTAGTCCCTCAAGTAGCTGGGTCTACCAGTGTCCACCATAACACCTGCATAATTTTTCTATTTTTCATAGAGACAGGGTAGTGTTCTTGCTCAGGCTGGTCTTGAACTCCTAAGCAACCCTCCCACCTCAGCCTCCCAGAGTGCTAGGATTATAAAAGTGAGCCACAGCACCAGGCAGACAATAAACTTTCAAACATCTATGAAAAACTAAACAGTAAGAAAATACCATGATACAACCCCAGGTTAGGAATCTCAGGCTTGGAGGCCTGGTAAACCTCAGAAATACTTGTAAAAACTATAGATATCCAAAACCCTAATCAAATCAACTGAACAAGGATCTCTCTGGGGCTGACCCTAGGGTCCCTATTTTTGAAAAGTCCCAGAGGTTATTATGATAAGTAGCCAGAGCTGAGAACCTCTTCATTACATAACTAATTACCAAATGACTAATCTAAACTGTGAGCACTGTGAGAAGAGAGAAATGGATATGGGCTGGGATGCCAACAAAGAGGGACATCTGGGCAGGACTTTGAAGGGCATTTGGACAGGCAGAAAGAGAAGGGGAACATTTCAGGCCAAGGGGAAAGGGCAGATGTTCAAGGGATTGAATATTTCTGAGCAGAGATGTCATCTAAAGGAATCAGGGTATATATAAGGAGGAGAGTCCGGTGGCCAAGGTAGAGAATGAACTGAGAAGGTGAGGATGAACTGAGAGGCAGGAGGCTAAGGGTAGGATGCTTGAGCTCTACCACACTCTCCAAGAGTGCTTCTGCCTACAACCTTTTCCCTGGGGCTGTTAAGCTTAGGTCAGCTTGAGTGAATTCTACATTCTGTGATATTTCTCTGAACTTCAATCCTATGAGCCTGCACCTCTTTCACAGGTCTCATCCTTGTCTACCCTGTGTTCAAATTATTCTCTGAGACTTGAGTTTCTTGAGGAGTTTTGTTTATCCTTCTAACCCCTGATCACTGATTCTCAACTGGGGACAATTTTGCATCTAATGGGATGGTGCTATTATTTATAATGCATAGTTATATGAAAGAAATTTCCATACCCAAATGTCAGTAGTGCCAGCAATGAGAAACTCTGGCCTAGATTAAGTAACAAGCATACTTCATTGCTTTACTAATAAGTTAAATTTACTAAATATTATTATCTAATAAATCTTTGATGACTATCTGAACAGCCAAGTGAATGAAAAAAGCATTTGTGTCTAACAGTCACCATTGACTCTCAGATTGTTTAAAGTTATAAAAAATTAAAAACTGGAAAGAGCAATGTAGAATTGCTAGCATTTATTATTGCTACATATAGACATTAAAAATAAAGCTATCAACTACTATAACTGTTACTTCATAAAATAAAGACAATTTTAACAATAGAAATATAATATTAATAATAAAAATTAAATAGGAAGGATATTACTAGAAAGAGTCAGTATAGCAGCCAATATTTGCTATAGGCTAACCCTGGACCACCACCCACCAATCTGAGAGCCTCTGAATGAGACTTTAAGTTCCTTGATGGCAGGGCTCCTGTCTTATAGGTAGCTTCTTGGCTCTTAATGCTGTGCAGTTCATGGAAGGCTGCCAAGGCTCTCCCTGTGGCAGGGATGCTCACTGCCAGCCCACTTGTGCTGTCCTACCTTGTATTCCAGGGAGAGCAAAGTCTCTGTCTTGGAAGTCCAGTTCCACTTATGAACTACATAACCCTTTTGGTCATTGGTGGTCCCACCTTCATCATCCAAGACCAAGACGTATGGGCAACTAGGAGAGACACAGAAGTGAGTAGCTACTGCCAGGCCCCTGAAGGGAGTCCTTACCACTACAGACCATAGACAGGAAGAATGGTGGAGTTCTACAGGCAGCCTCACTTTCCCTATCTGCTATGGTCTGAGGCCCCTTAACACCCGCTGATGCCTCTAGAGGAGTCTATAGGGAAGGGCCAGTCTGTGGGAGATGATGGAGACTCAAGTCAAACCCTATTGGGGAAGAAATGGGATTTGTCCACTACTGCCTAGGAACATGAGCATACAAGATAACAGGCATCAAAATAGGGACCAGAATATTCTTTCCAAGAGCAGTTCCTTATTCAAAGCCAGATAAAATAAACTTTATACTGGCAAGAATATGTGCTTCTCTTAAGAGACCCCACACAAGTGGTATTCATGTCACTCTTGGTATAAAATACTTTCCCCCCTAAAAAATTTTTCATGAATCTAATAAGTAATCAAGAACTTAGCTCCCTGGGGTACAAAGTGGAATAAGACTTGGGAATTCCCCTCTCATTGGCTGTGGCATGGATCTGGCAAGTAAGGACCAAGCCTCAAAGTATCTATATTCCTGTAGGAACGGCTTTGGCCCTGACTCCCTGCCTTACTAGCCCTCTGGGTGCTACCTGGCTCTTTCTTTGACCAGGAACTCCAAATCACCACCTTAATCTCTCCCATCACCCTCAGAGATACTTCCCTAAGACTAGAGTTCCCCACCCACTTACCAGGTCTTTAGGTTGTAGTGAACACAGCCTTGGCCTTCACCATTGAACAGGGCCAGGAAGGCAGCAGATGTGTCACTAAAGAGGCAGGTGATGTTTCTCCCTCTGCAACAAGTGGGGATCTGACACATAGCAATGTTTCCAGAGGGATAGCTGGCAGATATGGTCAAGTAGAACAGAATACTCTCCAAGTTCTGTTCTTGGGAGCCCCATGGAAGCAAGTCTACGTGCTAAAGGGTTATTTGGTGCATCATTACTCATCTTCAAAGACCTTCACTGAATTTTGCATAAGTAACAATTTATTATATGATTACAGAACCCAGCCATGCCCTGGGTGCTTTCTTGTATTGTCTTTTCCTTACAACCATATGGAGGTAGGTAGCATTGTCTCTAACCCACAGATGATGGGGATAGAGATAATACTACCCTCCAGATGTCCCCTGGGTCTGGGACATGGACCTTTCAGTACTAAACCAAGAAAGTCCTAGGTAAATGAGGATGTGTTGGTCTCTCTATAGATGAGGAATCCAAAATGATCTGCCTCATGCCACATCATAAGGAAGTGGCAGAGGCAGGATTTCATACTTGAAGTCAGCAATATTTCCTAGTGCTGTCAGGCTGCCTCCACTTCTAACCAATCTAGGAGGGCAGGCAGTCTCCTTGTTCATTTCCAGGTAAATAGGCCCCAAGAAGCCTTAAGCCTTATTCCTGATGAAGGGGGATGTAGTGTTGGCAGGTACTGTTCTGTGTACAAATTTCAGTATTACTCAAAGAGACCAATTGCAGTGGGTATTGCTGGGATCTGCCTCCTAAACCTTGCCCCCTAGCTAAATAAAGAATTAATGAATAGACACTATGAAAAATAACCTAATAGAAGTTCTGGAGCTAAATAGTATAATAACTAAAATGAAAAATTACTAGACAGGCTCATCAGCAGATTAGAGCAGTAGAAGAATCAATCAGTATACTTAAAGATAGAACAATTAAAATTACTCAGTCTGTGAAATAGAAAAAAGAATAAAGAAAAAGGAATAGATCTTAGGACCATCAAATATTCCAATATATGTATAACAGGAATCACAAAAGGAATGGAAAAAGAGAAGGGAGAAAATATTTGGAGAAATAATGGATAAAAACTCCTCAAATTTGAATAAAGACAAGAATCCCTATTTTTAAGAAGTATAACAAGACCAAGCACAGTGGTTCACATCTATAATCCCAGAACTTTAGGAGGTTGAGGTGGGAAGATAGCTTGTGGCTAGAGTTCAAGACCAGCTTGGGCAATACAGTGAGACTTCATCTCTGTGTATTGTAAAAAATTAGCCAGGCATAGTGGCACACATTGCAGTAACTCAGGAGGCTGAGGCAGGAGAATCACTTAAGCCCAGAAGTTCAAGGCTACAGTGAACTATGGTCATGCCACTCCCCTGCTGCCTGGGTGACAGAGTATGAGATCTTATCCCTATCTTATAAAAACAATGGAGACGGAGAAGGAGAAGTAGCAGCTCAATGAACTCAAAGTAGGATAAATTCAAAGATATTCACATATTATAATCAAACTGTCAAAAGACAAAGACAAAAATCTTTAAAGGAACAGGAGAGGAGAGATCATCATATATTAGGGATTCTCAATAATATTAATGACTGATTTGTCATCAGAAACCATGTAAGTCAGAAAGTAGTGATATGAAATATTTAAAGAGCTCAAAGAAAAACAACAACAAAGCTGTCAATCAAGAATTCTACATCCGGGGTGGCCTCTGTGGCTCAAAGGAGTAAGGTGCTGGTCCCATATGCCAGAGCCCTGGCCAAAAACTGCAAAAAAAAAAAGAATTCTACATCAGGCAAAATTATCTTTTGAAAATGAAGGAGAAGTTAAGGCATTCTCAGATAAGCAAAAAAAGAGGGAGTTCATCACTAGTTGACCTGCCTATAAGAAATGCTGAAAGAATGGGAGGGTACAGAGAAAGATGGCTGAATAGAAACCTCTAGTGATCGTCCCCCTATAGGAACCCCAAATTGAACAATTATCCATGCAAGAAAGCACCTTTGTAAAAAGAACCAAAAGCAGTTGAGCAATCACAGTACCTAGTTTTAACATAGCAAGGAAAGAGGCACAAAAGAAGTTAGGAAAGATAGTCTTGCATTGCTTACACCACCCTACCCATACCCCACCAAGGCTACAGAGAGAGGGAATCTGTGTGCTTAGAGGAGGGAGTGAAGTCATTTTAGGACTTTGTAGTGGAACTCAGTACTGCCCTGTCACAGAAGAACATAACACAGGGCAGAATTCTGCTGGTTCCCACAGAGGGAGCATTTAGACTAGCCCTGGACAGAGGAGAATCCTCCACCCTAGGACAAGGGAATTGAGTTCTGGCCACCTCCACTACCAGCTGATTAAAGTGGCCTAGGACACAGAAAAAATTTGAAAAGCAGTCAGGTCACAAAAACTGTAGTGCTTGGGCAAGTCCTGCTGCTGTGTTAGGCTTGGAGCTGATGGACTTAGGGTGCATATGACCCAGTGAGACACCAGCTGTGACAGCCAAGGGAGTCCCTATGTCACCCTTGCCCAACTCCAGGCAGTACAGCTTGGGGAGAGACTCCTTTCACTTGGGGAAAAGAAAAGAAAGAGTAGAGAGGAATTTGTCTTACAACTTGGGTACCAACTCAGATACAGTAGAATAAAGCAATAAGCAAATAGATTCTTGACGGCTCTGATTATAGGGCTTAGCTCCTGGATGGTAATTCTAGACCTACCCTGGACCGGAAGGAAATCCACTTTCCTGAAGGACTCAGTCCTGGCAGGATTCACCACCAACTGGCTAAAGAGCCCTTGGCTTTAGAATAAACATCAACTGTAGTCAGGCAGTAGTCACCACAGGCCTTGGGTGAGACTGTTGGCTATAGGTGTGACCTAGTACAGTTTCAGCTTTGGAGTACTTGTATCACTCCTTCCCCAACTCCAGGCAGCCTAGCATGGAAAGTGAAACTTCATCTGTTTGGTGGAAAGAGAGACGAGTGAGAGACTTTGTCCAGTAATCCAGGGAATTCTCCCATATCTTACTAAAACCCACCAAGGCACTACCACCAGGAATTTGCAAGAGTTACAGAGTCACTGGGCACAGGGCACCCCTAGTGCTGATATGGCAGTAAGAAAAGACTTAGATCACAACATCTACATCAGGCAAAATTGTCTTTTGAAAATAAAGGAGAAATTAAGATATTCCTAGATAAACAAAAAATGAGGGAGTTTGTTTGAATTTGAATACCTGGAAAGCCTTTTCAAGAAGGATGGGTACAAACAAGCCCAAACCACAATAATTAGAATAAATACCTACCTCTTCAATGCCTAGACAGAAACAAATATCCATAAACATTAAGAACATCATAGGAAAACATAACCTCACCAAACAAACTAAATAAGTCATCAATGACCAATCCCAGAGAGATAGAGATACATGACCTCTCAGACAAAGAATTCAAAATAGCTGTTTTGAGGAAGCTCTGTGAACTTCAAGACAATACAGAGAAGGAATTCAGGATCCTATCAGAGAAATTTAATAAAGACATTGAATAAATTTAAAAAAATGCAGCAGAAATTTCAGAGCTTAAAAATTCAATTAACTGAGAAACACATCAGAGTCTCTGAACAGCAGAACTGATCAAACAGAAGAATTGATGAGCTTGTGTATTAAAAGGAAGAGAAAGAAGAAAAAATAGAAAAGAATGAATCATGCCTATAAGATGATAGCCTCAAAAATAGCCTCAAAAGGATAAATATAAGAGTTATTGGCCTTAAAGAGGAAGCAGAGAAAAAGAATGTAGTAGAAAATTTATTCAAAGAAATAGTGAGAGAATTTTCCATACTTAGAGAAAGACATAAACATGTAGCTACAAGACTATCATAAGTTTTATCACTCAAATAAGACTACCTCAAGACATTTAGTAATCAACCCCCCAAAGATCATAGATAAAGATAAGGAAAAGTCAAGGCAAACAGCAAAAAGGAAGTTGGGAGAGACAGTCTTGTATTATGGCAAAAGAAAAGAAACAAATAACATAATAAATCTCTAATACATCTGCCAGCACACTTCTCAGTAGCACTTTATAGGCCAGGTGAGAGTGGCTTGGCATATTCAAAGTGCTAAGAGAAAAAAAACCAAAAACCCTTTTAATCCTAGAATATTATATTCTGCAAAAATGTCCTTCAAATGTGTAGGAGAAATAAAGACTTTCCCAGACAAACAAAAGCTGAGGAATTTCATCAATACACCAGGCCTATCCTGTCAGAAATACTAAAGGGAGTTCTTCCATCTGAAAGAAAAGGATGTTAATGAATAATAAGAAATAATCTGAAGATATAAATCTCACTGGTAACAGAAAATAGACAAATCCAGAATATTCTTATCACTCACTGTAAATACAGTGGGTAGTTGTATGTTGAATAAAAAGGCTAAAAGACAAATATGCCAAAAATAAATATAAGAACTTTTTAAGATATAGAAAATATAAAAATATTTATAAATGGAAACAATAAAACATCAAAAAGCAGGGTTGGAGATGGAATTAAAGTGTAGAGGTTAAGTTTTATTTATTTATTTATTTTAGCTTTTTCTTCATAGAGTTAAAGTGTTATCAGTTTAAAGTAATTGGTTATAAGATATTTTTTGCAAGCCTCATGGTAATCTCAAATCAGCAAACTTAACAACAGATATAGAAAAAATAAAAAGCAAGAAATTAGAACACGTTACCTGAGAAAATCACTTTTACACAAAAGAAGACAGGAAGAAAGGAAAAAAGAAAGAGGACCACAACAACCAGAAATCAAATAATGATATGGCAGTGGTTAAGTCCTTACCTATCAATGATAACACTGAATGTAAGGGGACTAAACTCTCCAATCAAAAGACAAGTGACTGAATGGATTAAAATAAAAAAATAAGATGCAACTATATCTTGACTACAAGAAACTCATTTCACCTATAAAGACACACACAGACTGGAAATAAAAGGAATAAAAGATATTCCTTGTAAATGGAAACAAAGAAAGAGCAGGAATAACTATCCTTATACAGATACAATAGATTTCATGACAAAAGCTGTGAAAAGAGACAAAGAAGCTCATCATACATATAATGATAAAGGGATCAGCT